TCACCAGACCCTCTCTGTCCGCGTGGGCATACGAGAGCTTGCGTGAGCTTGCGAGACTGATCGAAGAGCTAAACCTCGTGTGACTTTCTAGCAATCACTTCAGCTAAGACACCAGATTACTATCAAGGCTAGCCTCCGCGGATTATGCATCCGTAGATTTTTAGCTAAATGGCGCTACCTTATATAGCATCCGTCGTATTATCTAACGCCATAATGTCTGTCAGAAGGCAACCCAAGGCCAAGGGACTAATAATCTATATAGTCACTCTATACCGAGCCACTGACTGAATTGAAAGAAGTAGCAAGCAGACCTCACAGCATACGTGACATGTTGATTTTAATAGACAATTCTCTTTGTGTCAGTCTGTTTGATGCAACTCTTTTGTTGGTCAAATTGGGCTGGACAACTTTTTCTGAGTTGCCAAGTAGCAATGAAGTATAAAGTGTGTGCGCTGTAAAAAAGCACATGCCCTGGCAAAACACTAAAAAAGGACACGGCTACATATCAGTGTCAATGTTACCAGCCTTTAATAGGTTTCAATGGTAGCTATGCTAAATCCACTCACTAAACGTCGCCGCGAAGCTGTAAGATTGGAGACACAGTACGAAGCCAATTATAACGCACTGTGAAAATAAAACCAAAAATAATTATAGTGACTACACTCTACCAAAAAGCAGCTTACCTTTCTTTCCATGTCTGCAACCAATCTTAATGGAATGCGGTAGCATCGAAACCGTTCCCAGCGTATATAGTCTGGCATAGTCCTGCGCGCGCGCGTGAGGCAACGCCACACCGCGCGCCACCGCGCGCAATATAATTATGCGAAGTCACGTGCCAAAGAAGCGCAGCCGAAAAAATGAGTGCAAACCCTCGGCGCACTGCGCATTCGGGGAACTGTTAATTGATGGGGTGGGCTATATATGCGTTTACACATGGTCTCCACGCTAGTAGCACGCAGAGAGTCTGACAACGGCAAGCTACACTAGTAGATAGCATGCGGGAGTCGATACACGCCATTAGTTGTGACTTCTTGAGCCTCCAAGATGAGCAGATTACGTCGCAGTAAGCCCAGTGCGATTATGCATATCGATTATCACGGCATCTCACTAGAACGCAGTCGTTTTAGGAAAATCGCCTAAATAATTTTGAGGCTCGCGTAGTTCTGAGACGTGGGTAGGTATCGCTTATAGGCCGCCTCGGTAGTGCGAGGAGAATATAATATCTGCTGACAGAGACAGACAGAGACACACACACGCACACACACACCACTATCAGAGTAAAAATCCCCTTTGCCATCCCTGTAATTGTAGTAAAAACCACTCGCATGTTCAGCCGCGCACACAATAATTAGTTTACCACTACTCCACACAGTGGTTGGAAAAGAAGATGCCAGCAGGTATATCCCAAGGTAGGTATGTGTATCTGGTCTAATCTTGTCACAACAAGGCAGTTAGAATGTAGGTAAACTTCCTGTAGCTACCTACTTTTCCTAAAATAGGACTTACAAAAACGGACAAACTGAACTATGGCATTACAAACTAAGAACTTCAGGTATTCTACTAAAATAAGCTAAGATACTCTAAGGGTAACCTATGGCAAGTGTATGATGGAAGAATAGAAATGTCTTTCTTCAGTACTAAGAAAGATCCTATAAAAAGGCATAGTGTGATATCTCTGGACTCCAACAAAAAAGGTGGAGTGGCCTCGCCCCTTCGGGAGTGGGCTGTGTGTCGGCAGATTAAAGAGGCCGAAACAAGCAGTTCACAATGAACGAATGGCAACTCCCCTGAAGACCAAAACACTGTAGAAATATAATATACAGTAATTCCAGGTTCATCACAAACATTACCAGCCTAGGCAATAAAATAGCTTTAAGCGAATGTTTTGGCCACTTGCCCATGTGTGGACAAGTCGCCGCCTGATCTTAAGTAATCCTCATTCCAAAACACACACACACAGACCAAGTACCGTACAAGTTCAAGTTACAGTTGATGTTATGAGCCCCAAGAGGGATACAACGATTATGCACAAAAATATTATATATAATATATACTCAATGACGTGAACATGAGAAAGAGATTAGAGAGAGTTGGAGAGGGTAGTGGCGATCGTGAGGATGCTTTCGCGAACACCTCCTTCAATGGCTTCCAGAACTCCCTCAACAGATACATCCCTGTTGCAGTGGTCGGAGCACACGTGCTCAAAGTATGAAATGCTCTGGTGGATGGAGTTGTTGCAGATGGGACATTCTCGCTTTCCAAACACTGGTCTGCACATTACACTCAGTAGATGTTGAATTAAATGAGTTCCACGAACCCCATGATCTTGAGTGATGTCCCATAGCTTGCACAGTCGACTGGTGACACTTGGTCATCTCTAGCACAATTCCCCAGTCCCTAGAGATCAGAGCTTCTTTTGCTTCTTGCAGTACTAATTGAGCATTTTCCAGGTCATTAAGACATTGTGTCACGAATGATGTACCAAACTCACTTTCAAGTAGCTGACATTGCTCAACCAGACTGTCTGTAACACTCGCTGCGCATGCGCGCCGAGGATTAACCACTGCATGCGTCGTCGTATACGTTAGTGGAAGGTGGCTAGCGAAAGAAGGCCTACTGTTACCAGAATTCTTCGGCTGTCTCCATAGAAAGAATTGAGCTATGAGTCAGCGATTTTACGAGCTTCTTCGGTTTCGGAAGCGCAGCGATTCCTCGTATGGACTCAGCAAATGAGTTCTCTGTATTGAACTTTCCGCTGTGGAGTCCAGTTGGGATATATGCAATTGGCTATGTGAAAATGAGAGAGTACGTCTATAGTAGCCAGTTCTTGGCCATCTTGATGTGAGCCCATCCCCGAATACTCGCGCCTGACGCCGTTCGACAGGCATAGGAAAATATACTACTGTGAGCAAGGAAAACTTACTCGGCTACCTATGACGACACAAAGATTCCTGACATTCACCACCTGCAGCTTCAAAAGGATTGCTGATGTTGGGTTGGAGGTCAAAGGTTTGGAGTTCGAAGTGTCCCTCGAAACACCAGAGTTGTCACACAGGATCGATGGCCCAGAGACTCTCTCTTCTAATTGAATGGATGTGGACCGAGCAAAATTATACTCAATGACCATTGGCTCCCTGGCTAGAAAAAGGTGAGGAAATGTATCAAGACTATAGCTATAGCACTGAAACACAACTAGGATACTCTAATAGAGAAGGATCAATTGGCAAGGCTGATGCTCAAATGTAGACATACTAAAACGTATGGAAGAATCTATTAGTTTGCAGTGAAATTGCGAAGGGGCTTTGCAGGATGAAGTATTAGTAAGGCACTGTATGCATGTTGAGATCCCCTGCAAGACATGCTATATATCAGAGAGTCGGTAGACTCTCTATATAGGGATGAGACGGGTGAAATCTCACGTGATCTGCGTACAAAACGACTAATTACTCGGTGAGAATCACTCCCTAGGCTTTAAAAACATACTAGCAATAGTGTACGGGCCCATATCTACCTAATAGTATAATTATAGCTACATGCCCCCCAAGACTTCATACTCACCTTCAGTCGTCCACGCGAGAATTCGCTCATAATTATATACGCGATTTCACGATTTTCGTGTCATCATATTCTTCTTCTTCTTCAATCCCGCTATCTCCTTACCAGTACCAGCTGAAGTGCAGATTTTTTCACTGAACGTCTCTGGAGGTGTGCACGCATATCAAGCGATCGTTTGTTTCTTGCCGCAAGTCATTACGGTAGATCGTTGAGCTCTTCCACGGTAGTCACGGAACAACGCCATTTTCTGCTTAATGTTAGTCGGGCTAAGATGATACCACAGCCACGACCCCTACCTCTGCACCCAGGGCTTGGGACCTACCTTAGATCTCTCTTTAGTCTCTTCGCGGGACCTTCTGGTGATTAACTCACCCTGTACACAACATATTGTGAGGGTTTGGGTATATGCATGCGGACTGGATGCTACCATAAATACTGCCATATGTACTGCTATTATATAAGTCGCCATGATTAGATTTCTCTGTTGCATTGATCACACACAATTATCCAGCCCACACACATGATCACACCAGAGAACTGGTGGAGAGTATGTAAGAAATACAGAGAAGCAGGGTAGGTGGGGAAGAGTTTGACGCTTGTCACTGCCGCCAACTGCAACTTCAGCCCCGACTGATGGCTACTGACATTGCCCGCGCCAAAGCGGCTGCCGGTCACGTGTGGGAGCATGCGCACGAGGTGCGCCTGCTCATTGCCCGCGCGCCCTCCCCATTAACCCCGGGTTAAACATCATTAACTCAGCATCAGTGAGCCGCATGCGCCGAGGAGGGCGTTTCCAATGCGGTGCGCGCGCATTTTGTCTGGTCCACGTACGCGACTAAGCCAGGACTGGATGCCTGCAGAGAAAACTACTGTCATCCTCCAGTGCCTTCTGTAAGTCAGTGTACACATTTGTAAGTGGCTAGCTTGCGTTTTGCTGTTGATTTGCACGATGAGCAACTTGGCAATCTGCGCCGTGTTACGCGTGCCTTGCCAGGCGCCTTCATTCTTTGTCCCCCAGGTTATAGTTATCATTGTAGTCTGATTTCTGAAGCCTCCCCAATGAAACCACCACCATTAGTTCCACAACCTAATTGTTTCCTTGTTGGAGACACTACGCATACACCCTGCTTCAGGTAATAGCAGTCATTAGCTTCTGACAACATACCCAGTGACTGAAAATGCAGTGTTGTCATAAGCCATTAAAAATAGTGGAAACAAGTGGAATAAATCATTTGTTCAAAATGAAGGGGGATATAGGAATGGCTTGAAGCACAGAAAGGAAGAAACAAGGGGTCATTACACACCAAATATGCACAAAGCCACATGATACCATCCCTATATCTTTGTTTTATTGTTCATAAGCAAAGTTTAATATGAGACAAAGATATAGGGATGGTGTCATATTTGGTGTGTAATGACCCCTTATTTCTTCCTTTTTGGTGCTTCAAGCCATCCCTATATCCCCCTTCATTTTGAAGAAATGATTTTTCCACTTCACACAACTTAGTTTTACGAGTTTTTGACAATTTAGTTTCAAACAGCAAATCGAAACGTAGCTCCTTTATTTAACGCTGCACCCCACAGGAACCACCCTCAGTCGGTGTAACCCAGGACTGAGTCCAGTCAGTGGACCTAAACCTGTGTATTATAGGAGTAAGTGTTATCATGATATTTACCACACAGAACAACATACAGTCTGGTAGGACACTCCATCCAATTTACAGATGTAGCCACTGATCCCAGTACCAACACCACTGAATGAATAGGTGGCCGAATTTCCAGTTACTTCAATCTGCCCATCCAGTTCCACAGTACACACCTCTGTTAAATAGCTCATTCATAACTGGTGTATTACACAGGTGCAATTTTTCCTACCACTCTGGCAGAGAGGTGGCTGTCCACTCCAAGTCCCATCATTCTGACAGAATCTGGTACTCATTCCAACTAGTGTCAATCCCTCATTGCAAGAGTAGTTTGCCTGTGAGCCAACATCTGAACTAGTGTAGTGAACTGAGCCATCTGCTGGAGCCTTTAGGTCAGGACACCCTATGTAATAAATTGAAGAGGCATAATAATTGTGTATTTTGACAACTACAATAATTACCGTCATCATTATCGTTCAAGACAGAACCTTTCAACGCTAGTGACCAGGTACCACAGGTAGATTCAAACTGGTCACGTTCAAGTAGTGCAACTCTTCATTGTCGTCCTTTAACATCATGCCGCGCGGCGCGATCTATATACATAGATTCGGTACGCGGATGTTAGCCAACGCGATCGGCACTATATATAGACGCGTGAACACTCCACTCACTCTCTGCGTCCTACGTCGCGTCGCTATGCTCGCTCGCGGCTGCACACGCCAGACCTTGCTACACCTTTCGACCTTTGAGGTGGGCGCAGTTTGCGCATGTACAATAAAAGTGCGTGGCTGGTGTGCGCACAGCTTCCCCCCTCCGCGCTGGTAATACGCTCAAGAGCGATGAAGCAGATCTGGCCTGAACTTGTCCTCCTTGCTGCTCTAAGATGACATAGGCTTTATAAGCACTGAATGAACGAATTCTGGGTCTTATCTGCGTGCCTACACAATAAAACACGCTAAACAATAAGGCACTCACGAACTCGAAATAACCCCGCGGAAGCGTCAATCCAGCCACGCCCCATTCGCATTACGCGCGACATGAAGCTTCACAAAGACACATAATCATACATCACCTGATCCTCCAAAATAGAACGCGAAAAGATTTAAAATTGGAAGGCGAAGTATAACCTGCTGACAATACTTGTTGATACGCTCCCATCCCTTCTCTGTAACGCAGTCGTTTTAGCAGGCATCTTAGCAGACGCGTATTCTGTTTTGTGGAATAAAATCTTAACACCAACGCTCGACCCCATCTTTGCTGGTAACCCACCGTAACCCCACCGCTCAGACCCAATGTTTGTTGCGCCCAATGTCAAGGATTTTCCGTTCTCGTAGCTGAAACGCCCTCAAACCTGCTACTCCACACCACCGCTTATCAGACACAGAGAGTGCCCACCCAAAACCAACCTCCAATCTTTAGATCATCACATAAACTGTACAAAGAACTTGGGTTTTATTGTTTGAGAAATTTGAAAGTTCTACCATCCTTATAATTATGAAATGCGAGGATGGTGGGCCGTAGGTCAGGAGTAATGAAGCTGGATTACTTCATTTCCCTCCACAATGGTTAGTCGTCGATGGTTTTCACTTCACGCACTGACACTCGCATTAAGTCCTCCACGAGAATAGTTTTCCCCCCAATGTTAGGGGTTTCTGGTTAAAAGGTATACAACATCACTCCCTCATCTACATAATAACACGGGTCTCCCCTTTAATACCTCAATCCTAAAAAGCACATAGCACATCCGTTTCCTGATCCTGCACCAACTGGGAAAGTGTCATACTAAACTCACTGAATATTAAAGCCTTCCCTTCCTCCTCCATGACGTTTAAGCATATGGTGAATCTCTCCACTCTTCCCTGCATCTCATAGACAGATCACTGGACTGGGGAGTCTCCTCTAACACCAGGATCCAAACTTGCAGCTTAGTGACCTTATCTCTGATGAAGAGATGATCTCACATATTGTCCCAAGGTTCCTCAAGCTGATCCGTCACTGCTAGTCTGGATATTCTCACATAAGGATTCAAAGTTGGGTACTTTCATGCGCACATCAAATTCCTTCATCTCCACATATTATACTGTCCCAACCTATGGCTATATTTCACGGATTTCAAGCCCGGTTTTGAGAATCCACTTGCTACGCGTAAAGTCTGACATCGTCAGGTTTTGGTGGTGCCCAGAACAAAACTGTGCTAGCCGGTTAGCTCATTGTCCATTTTTTTCACACATGCGCACATGGTGACCGCAAATGAGATTCAACTGAGTCACACACACTTTTGAGAAAAAGGGAAAGACGTCATAAAATTAATAATAACTCCAAAGTTATCACGGACCAACGTAAAGTATTGCCATGCTTTCATGTGCACGACTAATGCTGAATAATATCGCTAATATGTTTCAACTATAGTCTCTGTAGGCTTTCATCCATTTGGCAAATAGAGAGGGAGGTGGTCACAGACTCCCAAGCCACAATAATTGTCCTATGATCCTGTCCCCCCCTTCTGCTCTGCCCTCCTTCTCTATCGGGCCGCTCTTTGTCCGCTCTCCTCTTCCTCTTTTTCTGATATCACCCTCCTACCCTCTTTTCTGTTTGCCTTCCGCTCCTGCACTTCTGCCGACGGTACGCTAACCGTACGGGACACTGCTGAAGAGTGTTGCGTCCGGGGGCCACAGATCCTAACAACTGCGACAGCCCACATTTAGGCACACGTCTGATTATCCGTGGTGGTAGGGAAAGTCAATTCTAGGCACTCTCTAAGGAATGGCAAGGCACCAAAGAGGGAAGTCCCCCTCAGTCGATGAAGGCTAAGAGGCCGCCGGCGCGCAGAGTCGGGGAATCTGTAAGGGCATTCAGCAATATACTAACATGGCAAACTTGAGATGAACTGGGGGGAGTACACCAACTTCGGAGCTCTTCTTGTACACCACTCACGGTGGTAATACTGTAACAGTTGTTCTGGGGATGCAATCCGGATCACTGGTACGGAGGGAAATGAAATCCGACAACGTTAATAATCATGAAGAGGGGGTAAGCGTAGATATAGCTAAGCTATAGCACACCCAGGCTCGAAGCTATACCGGATAAATCTTCTTGAGTGACTCCGGCAAAACTAATGACAACTGTGAGAATAGTGTGTGGTCTTCTTCTGCTTCATCTGCAATTGTAACTGGTTGTGGAGATTCAACAGTCCCCTAACAGAAGAGGGTCTGTTTCTAAAAGACAATGGAAAATCACTTAATTTCTCTCTGCATAATGAAAGGGGGGTACAGGCGATGGCTCAATGCACCAAAAAGGAAAGAAAACGGGTTTATGACCGCTAAGACACCATCCCTGACACCATCCCTTTGACTTTCAGTAGCCCCACAGTGACTGGCAAAGTTCACGAACAAAGAGACGTAGTCTATGTGCTAATGCTATGCATATATCGACTGTCAAGCCAGGAAAAATCCACTACACCTCGGTTTCTTGCACATTCATTATAATGTAGAGGTGCATCACAAGTTTGGGCATACAAAAAAATAAAAAAAAAATAACCGAACATGTGTAGCCTAGACATATATACGGTATGTATAAAATGTCCACCTGCTTTGCAAAGGGTTCAAAATAGCTATAACTTAATTTTACAACAACAACAAAGAATAATGTGCAGAAGGGTTCCACTCCAACCAGGACCAGGACCCAGACGAGCACCATATCCCTCTCAGGTCCAACCAGAGTCCCTCATGGCAACTGTCTGGCAACAATTGGCTGGCTCCATCCACATTCATCTGCTCCATTCTCCTGGATCAGAGGGCACCAGACACTGCAGGCTAGTGTTTGACAACTGCAAGCTGAAGTAATGTCAATGTTTGGGAGCACTCATCTGCTTTGGTTTTTGAAAAAGCACACACCTGCTGTCCTGTACTGTTTGAGCCTCCCATCCGATCATCTCTGTAGCTGCCACTGAATGAAGTGACAGGAACCAAACTTTGGTTGAAGGTAGAGCAGCCTGAAGCTCTCTGCAGTTCCTCCACCCTCCATTATCGATCCAATCCAAAGTGGTTGTCAGGGTCCCTCACAGTCCTCTGTTTGTCTAATAATAATTACTGTAGCTTGAAGTGACAGGACGGGAATAGTATCCACTCTAAATGAAGAGTAAACCAAGCATGGGTAATAGAGCCACTCTAATACCTTCTTGACTCATTCCAGAAGACTCTGTCGATGCAGAGCCGGAGTGACCCTCATCTACCTCACTGCTCTACGAGTCAGGACTAGTATGAGAGGTGACGAGGACTCCGCTCCAGAACCACTCACTACCCACGTCGGTGTCTCCTCTACTCTTTCAGTAAAGAACCCATGTCTCGCCCATTACTGCTCTCATAGTTCCCAAGACATGGACTGCAGAGTTACAGTGGTCGATGCCACACAGCTGTATTTGTCCTCAGAGCTGCCTCCAGTATTTGAGTCCCAACGATCAGATCAGATCTTGTTTTTACCCAAACAACTGCCATATGTGCTGTAATGGTTTTAAGACACGTTTATCTTTAGAGACAATTACTGGTAATGTTCCTTCCTAACAAGGCAGCGGTCATAGAAGGCATTTTGATGGCAATCGGCACTGGCCATCCCACCCACATTATTCCTAGTAGCCTTAGGAGGCTCCATACCCGAATGCCACAGTATTTGAATGGAGCGACACCCTGTCCTTATTGAGGACTTGAACACCCATTGCTCTCATCTGAAAGTTAGTGACATATCGGGGTAAACAAGTGCCAGTAATCATAGAATATCATTTCCAGGGCATCGCACTTGCGTTCCACACAAGTTTATCTCTTAGTAACAACTAGTCCAAACACACCACCCAATAGTTTTGATGTGACAACCACCACCCTCTGCATACTCGAGCTGTTACTACTGTCATAGCTTAACTACAACAGTATGTAGTCGTATGCAACTTAAAACATCCACTATGTTTTTGTACTCTCCTCTTCAAGATCCTAGTGCACCACCTCATAACTAGGCCAAAAAGATCGGTCTATATAGGTTGGATAGGTTGAATTGGTTTGTTGTGCCTGTGGCCTTTCTACCTCATAGTGTTCACATGCATAGACTTGGTTGCGTTTGTCGTCATGTGGGGGTTTACGTACCCGTCTTTGCCTACAAGGCTAAGTGAGAGTTTACTGGTGCCATAGCACATGGTTTGAAGGTTTGTGTTTGTGTTGTAGATGCGAACCCCTATCTATACCAGCTAGTTTGCCCTGGTGGCTCAGTTGGTAGAGCGCCTGTCGCCTAGACTGCAGACAGTGTCGTTAGTTTCGCATCTCCCCCTAGGGCCAGTATTATTTTTTCCTTGGAAAAAAGCTGTCCTAGGTGTAGTTGATTTTTTGGTTTGTGCCTTTTTCGTGCCTTTCTACTCATTCATACGGTTTCCACACATGCAGCTAACACTCATAATTTTTTCTTTAGCGGTAACGCTACATTGATGGGGCTGGGTCCCTCCC